AGAGGAATAATAAAAATTTTTCCCCAAAATGCAACAATGTAAATTGTCTTTAAAAGTTGGAACTTGCTTTGCAAACTGATAATATAGACTCAGAAGGCAAATCCCTATAGGTCTATCTTACTTCTGGGGGGAAAAAAGTTTTGAATCATGATGGATTAGTGATGGATACATAAGAATACCTAAAGAGGATGGGTAATTGTGTATTTTCCAAAGGGACTTTCTTCTTGGATTTTCCCAGAGGATTATTCTGTATCCATAGCCTAATGTAGGTGAACAATTTGATTTTAATACAAAATAAAATGAACACAACACTCAACTGTCAAATATATACTTTTCAATCTTAGCTGGATCCTCTTTAGCCTTAGAGAGAAATCCTTCACCAAATTTCCAGTTGATTCCATTCCAGTTCCCCATAGCAGTCATTCTAAATCTTTACCACTTTTTCCAATTTTACTCCCTCAAATTCTGAAAGTCTTTCTGTACAGTTCTTTGAGAAAACAAAACCATGTAAGAACACCTTAATTTTATTTCCTACCAGCTAATAATTTATCTTTTTTTTTATCCTTTCTTTTTTGCTCCCAGTATTGTTTAGGTTCTCATTGCAGTCCCATGAGTTTTCCTTGGGAAAGGGCTTTGCTTTCATATCCTTCCTGAGCTCCAGTCTCTCTCTTTCTTCAGTGGGACCTTTACCTCAGCCTGCAAGTCTAGGCCATCTTTTCAGAACTCATCATACTTGAATTTTGTCACCAGTGATCCCCTTCCTCAATCCAGTTATTGAAATTCCACATATTTTTAATGAATCTCCTTTCCCCTTTCCCTTCTCCTTTCCTATTTCTGGCTAAACTTTGTCTTCTCTGTCTCCTTGCTTGACCTATGCCTCTCTCTCTCTCTCTCTCTCTCTCTCTCTCTCTCTCTCTCTCTCCCACACACACACACTAAGTCCCCACTTTAATTTCAGCTATACCTATTCCCATGTTTTCACTGTCTTCTTACAGTTTCAGTTCTGTTCTGTGTTTCCACTTCTGATGCTTCCCCTGAATTTCAGGCTTAAATATATCACTGTCTAATGCATATTTATTCTTTTTTAAAAAAAATATTTTTATTGATTTTGGAGAAGAAGGGAGAGGAAGAGAGAGATACAAACACCAGTGATGACAGGGAATCATTGATCGGCTGCCTCCTGCACACCCTACAATGGGGACCAGCCCACAACCCAGGCATATGCCCTGACCGAGAATCAGACTATGACCTCCTTGTTCATAGGCTGACACTCAACCACTGAGCCACACTGGCCAGGCTGCATATTTATACTTGAATGTCTCCCAAGTACAGCATACTCAGGATATTACAAAAACCGTTGGCAAGTAATACATTTGAGGTCAAAACCTGAGTTCAAGATTTTGACATGTAATGAAATGGTGAGCAAGGTATTTGACTTCAGTTTCCTCATCAAATACTGTCGTGAAACTTCATTTCACCAACGCACTTGCCCACGCAACCATCTCTCTCACCTGTTACTGCAATAACAGCCTCGGTGATCTTCCCACTTCATTGTACTCTATTCTCAATGCAATAGACAGAGTGAGCCTTTAACAAAAAGTGAGTTAGATTGTGTCTCTCTACTCAGAACCTTCCAATGGTTTCCCATCTTGGCTTCTAGCAAAAATCAAAACCTTCATGTGCCACCCTCAACCCCATCTTCCCCGAATCCCTGACTTCAGTTTTTCATCCTGTCATTTTTCCCCAGCACTCTGCCCTCCTCAGTTTTCCTTACTTTGCTGAGCTCTCTCTTGCTTCAAGTGCTTAGCACATGACCTTTTATTCAAATGGATGTCACTCTCACCTCCATAAGCCTTTATTCAAATGTCACCTTCTCACTGACAGATTCTCTAACTTATTTGAAATTTACCCCATCCTTCTGGTCTCCAACACTTAATCCCCGTCTTGTTTTACTGTTCTCCGTAGGGCTTATTCCTAATATTCTATACAATTAACTCACTTAGATTGTTTTTGTTCCCCACTGTAATGTGCCCCATGATGCCAAGAGCTTCTCCTTTGTGTTTTCCCCACCATTGTATCTGCAGGGCCTAGTAGTAGAAGCTCAATAATAATTGCCAAAAAAAGGAAATAAATGTACAAATTAAGATATCGGAGGTGGCATTTTTTTTTTAGCTAAAAAGCACTATAAATAAATTATTTCCTGATTGTTTTTGTTCCCCACTGTAATGTGCCCCATGATGCCAAGAGCTTCTCCTTTGTGTTTTCCCCACCATTGTATCTGCAGGGCCTAGTAGTAGAAGCTCAATAATAATTGCCAAAAAAAGGAAATAAATGTACAAATTAAGATATCGGAGGTGGCATTTTTTTTTTAGCTAAAAAGCACTATAAATAAATAAATTATTTCCCCTATTATCTCTACTATTATTATTTTATGCCCACATGACTGTACATTTAAACGCACATGCACAAACACTGTTTTTCTCTATGTCCTACCTTGGTTTTGAGATACTATCCAATCAGTTTCTGAGGCTATTCACTCTGAGTCCTCTTTAAGCTTTTCAACCATTTTATTCACCAGTTTTAACTCTTACACTATGTGGAGCAGAATGTTCATTTTAGTTCCTACTACTTTAGCTCAGTCATCTTGAACTTGTCTCTAGGCAATTACAATAGCCTACACATGAATTTGTACCATATTTTATCATAAATATCCCTCCTTAAATACTTTTTCACGGCTTCAAATGATCTACAAAATGCTTTCTCCAGTAATCAAGGTCCTTCATTACTGACCCTGACCTCTGTTTTTGTGGTGCTATTTTCCAACATGATAAATTGTTCTTTATGGTTCTTTTTATTTCTTTTTACTTCCAGACAGTAGTTATTGATTATTCACTGAGTCAGGCACTATGCAATGGCGTTTAGTAAGGTACTATCTCTTTTCCCCTCTCCTCATAGCAATTTGTTATAGTTTGGGTGGAATGAAGGAAGAGAAAACTTGGCATTTGAGATCATACATCAAATGCACAGTAGCTATAGGTACATTGAAAATGTATTCTGATTTTTTTGGGGACAGACTTGGTTTATACATTTTGTCTGGGTATAATTATTACTAAATTTTTCTATGCTATCAGAACTTGTCCTTGTTTGCTGATAAATTATAGCATCTCTTTATAAGCAAAATAATTTGAGTTTTATCCTGTCATGAACTGTAGAAATGATGGGACTTTTTAAGCAACATTTAAGTTGCCGTTCCTTAGCATTGGAACACACTTACACATGTGACATGATGTTGGGTGGAGAAAACCCAGGTTATATAACCTGAATGTCATCTTAATTTTAGTAGAAAGCTTTTATTTGTCTCAAATACAGTTAATAGCTACTGTCGTAGCAATTTTTTTTTCACATCCTTGTCAGGCGTGTCCTGTATTTACTCTTCATTTATTCATAGCCTTCCCATCTTTAAAGTTATGCTTACATCCCCAAACTACTTTTTGATTCATCTCTATCTCTTTCTACTTTGTGGTCTCTCCTTTTAGCAGCTATTTTTTTATATCACTTAATTGGCAACTTTTTGTATACAAAGTACTTTTTTTTTTATTCCTGGATCTGTTGGCATGGTAGTCTGCTGGATCCTTGAAGGCAAAGAATCTTTGATTGTTTAGCATTGAGTCTAGGGCCAAATACAGAATATAATCAAGAACTTAACTGTTTTATGTAAAAAATAGCAATATGATAGCAGTGGTATGGATTGTGGCATTGATGGTAAGTGTGTTGAAAATATAATAGGATAAGATAATATTAATTTTCAGGAAATATCTATAGTTTATACCAATGTCTATAGATTAAAGATGTGGGTTTGACATGTATATTTATTGAAAATTATATTGTGATGGGAGGAAAGACATTGAGGAAGAGAAAGGAAAGGTATACCATATTTTATCAAACCATTGCATGGAAGATCATCATTCCTTTGTAATTTCTGAGGTAAAAGTGCCAATTAAGTTATGGTTCAATGTGTTCATATCACTTATAAATTTCATTTGATATATATTGAAATGCCTATTTATTTATGGATTTTAAAAATAATTGAATCATCCCTGTCTATACATAACAAAAGTATAAGTGGCATCAAAGGACTAAGGTGTTGTCAGCACTCCATTACATTTGAAGGTCATTTATTATAAGAAATGTTTATTTTCAGTTAAAATATAAAAATGAAATATTTTTATTGAATTGATTTATAGTGTATAAGTAAGTATAAGTAAGTATATTGTAAAGAAACAACATCTGATGAGTTTGCTAGGATATGAAGAAGGCCCTAAATATTCTAAAACATAAAGGGAAAATAATGGGCATTTTGGATGCAACCAAGTGTAGAAATCTTAGTTACAGCAAAACTTTGTGGAAGTGTACTATAACTTTTGCTGTTCAGCAGCCAAAGCTGTCACCTGGGAAGTTTTAGCAAAATGGACAAGAAAATATTATGAGATTGAGCATCTAATTAGTGTAGAGACATGAAGCTATGGCATTGGTATGGAAAGTTAAGAACTAAACACGCAGAGTTTAGGTTTAGGTACACTAGCTATCGTTTATTACAGGGTTTTACTGTGTTGTTTTTTTGTGTGGTTTTTTTTTTTTGAGCAAAGAAGGAATAAAAATGTCTGTGTTCAAAATGTCAACATCTATAAACTCACTTGGTGGGATTCTATGTGCCTTATCCAGTATGACAAAACCGCTAGTCATAAACATAAACAGAATTCATAACAATTTCCAGAACAGACTGTGTGAGACTACATCAAAGCCAATTCTATCAATAAGGTGGACTTGAGCAGAGTGGCTAAAATTAAGAAAATAATTGGCTTAGCTGTGCAGCTGAATAGAAAATGTGGATCACATTCATGTACCTTTTATATATTGGTTTCTCATATTTCATCTTTGTACTGCTCTTGTGTTCATGTTCAGATCAGTCATATTTTATTTTGAAACATTTTCATTTTCAGATCAGCAGTCCTGTGATCCTGGTGAATTTCTTTGCCACGATCATGTGACTTGTGTCTCCCAGAGCTGGCTGTGTGATGGGGACCCTGACTGCCCTGATGATTCAGACGAGTCTTTAGATACCTGTGAGTAGAAAGGTTTTCCTGCCATTCAGGTTTACCTTACATGTGAAGCTAAATGTCAGTTGTTTCACGGTTGGCTGATGTTGTAGTTGATTCTTTTTTTCCACCTAGCCTGAGAAACTCGAAACTTTTCATTTATATTTCTTTAAAATGACTATGTGAATGAAAGCACAAAATGCAATTTCAGAGCGTGAACTGACTTAGGTAGGGAAGAAGATGCAAGGTTAATTATTTCAAGGTGATGGTGTTACTCCTAGAGAAAGATGACTTGAGGAAAATAACCCTTTGAAACACAGCACTAAAAGGGAGTCAGACCCTCTCCAAACATTTATCTCACACACTCTGAGTGAGAGGAGCACATAGGCATGAAAAGAGAAAGAATAGATTAATAAAAACAAACACTAATGTAGAAATCAAATGTGTAAACCCATACAAAGGAATATTATTTGGCAATAAAAAGAAGTACTCATAGATGACACATGGATAAAGACTAAGGGGAAGGAGCCAGTCACAGAAGACCACATGTGGTATGATGTCATTCATATGAAAGATCCAAAATTGGCAAATATATAGACGCAGGGAATGGTTGAGGGATGTAGTAGAAGGCAATAAGGTCGGACTGTTAATGAGCATGGGGTCTCTTTTTGGTGAGATTCAAATATGCCAAAATGGGATAGCAGTTATGATTGCACAGTTATGTTAATGTATTTTAAAACATTGAATTTTACATACTAAAAGGGTTGAATTATATGTTAATTTTATCTTAATAAAGTTGTTTAAAAATGGGAATATATCTCACAATTGTGCGTAGGGGTGTAGATAGCATAGTAATGTGAAAAGAAAATTTTTATGATTATTAATAAATGCTCTTACCACATGAAATATTATATATGATTAATATTATATGTATATGA